TCACCTTTGCCACTCCATTCACCTTTTCAGACACGGTCACACCCACTCAATCATTTACTAACCCTCCTCCCTAGACACACACACACACACACACACACACACACACACACACACACACACACACACACACACACACACACACATACACACAAACACACAGAACTTCCCACCCCACCCCCACCCACCCCCCACACACTTCACAAATACACGCACCTTCTGTCCACCCCCACCCCCACACTCCCACACCTCAAAAACACACACAACCACCTCCCCCCTCCATCCTCCATCCCCCATCCCCATCCCCACCCCCACACACTCACTCACACGCCCAACCTTCCCTCATCGACTATTCCACCCCCTTTCCCTCCAGCACCACAACCCACAACCGCCGCCACCCTCTCCTCCACCACAGCGGCCGCAAGACACTTTCCTCCTAACCCTTCACCCTTCAGTCTTCCTTCACCCTTCACCCCCCTTTCCCCCCCTTCTCTCCCTGCAGCTGCGACGGCCTCAAGTACGGATACTACGCGGATCTGAACAACGGGTGCAGAGTGTTCCATATCTGTTATCCTTATCTCGATGCTGAAGAGTTTCTGCGTACAAGGATGTTCTCGTTCATCTGCGGTCTCGGGACGGTGTTCAACCAGGTGAGTGTCGGGGGGAAGAAAGGAGGGAGGAGGGAAAGGGAGGGGAAAGAAAGGAGGGAGGGGGGAAAGGGAGGGGAAAGAAAGGAGGGAGGAGGGGTGGGGAAAGAAAGGAAGGAGGAGGGGTGGGAAAGGAGGGAGGGAGAGGGACGGTGTTCAATCAGGTGAGTGTCGGGGGGAAGAAAGGAGGGAGGGGGGAAAGGGAGGGGAAAGGAGGGAGGGGGGAAAGGGAGGGGAAAGGAGGGAAGGGGAGAGGAATGAAAGGAGGGAGGAGGGGTGGGAAAGAGAGGGAAGGGGAGGCAAAGGAAAGGGAAGGGAGGGGGAGGAAAGGGAGGGAGGGAGATGAGGTGGAAAAGGAGGGAGGGGGAGAGGAAAGAAAGGAGGGAGGAGGGAAAGGGAGGAGAGGGGAGGGAAAGGGAAAGGAGGGGAAGGAGGGGGAGGAAAGGAGGGAAGGGGAGGGGAGGGGAGGGGAGGGAAGGGAAGGGAAATAGTGGGAGAGGAGGGAGGTAGAAGAGGAAGGAAAGGAGTGGGGGTAGAAAGGGGAGGGCAAGGAGGGAAGAGAGAGAGAGAGAGAGAGAGAGAGAGAGAGAGAGAGAGAGAGAGAGAGAGAGAGAGAGAGAGAGAGAGAGAGAGAGAGAGAGAGAGAGAGAGAGAGAGAGAAAGAGAGAAAGAGAGTGAGAGAGTGAGTTAAAAAAAGAGGGAAAGAGAAAGAGAAAGAGAGAGTAAGTAAGATGCAAGATCGAGGTAGACAAACTAAAGGGAAAGGAAAACAAAACAACAAATCAAATCGAATCAAAACCAAACGAAGGGAGAAAGAAACAAGAAGAAGACCCAAGGAGCTAGAGAGAGAGAGAGAGAGAGAGTCAAGGAAGGTCATCAAGTATAGTAAGAGGAAGAAAATCTTGTCCGATATCGACTTTTTTTTCCCTCCCGCGCGAAACAAGGTCACAATATCACGGAACATCGTCATTTCCCATCCTTAAGTATGCTCGGGGGTGCACAGGGTCATTAACAAGGTCATGGGAAAGGTCAACGGGACGAGTCGGTATTAGAGATTGTAAAACGGCTTTGGAAACCTTTTTATAGCCAAAAAGATTAGCGAATCGTGAAGGGAACACGACTCTCTAGGTCGAGACGCCACGCCTGTTATCAGCGAGGTGTTGATTAGCAAATTTGCAATGTTGCTGTGGGTGTTGTTGCTTTTGGGGTGTTGATTAGCAGTTTGCAATGTTGCTGTGGATGTTGTTGTTTTGGGGTGTTGATTGACAGTTTTTGCAACGTTGCTATGTTGATGATGTTGCTGTGACTAATGCTTATTGTATTTGAGTGTTGATGTGTATGTATGCATGTTTGTATGAATATACACACATGCTTGTGATATAGTTAGTTCACTCCCTAGTTCGTTTACTTAGGTAATTGTTTTATTCATTTTTTTCATCTATTTTTCTTTTTTTTTTTGTCATATAATCTTACCCATGGCTCATTATCTCGTTAAGTTAAGAAATATTTTCAGAGAAAAAGAAATATTTGCTTTGATTAAAATCACATTTGCAATAGGTGTGAGATAGTGTCAATAACTTATCGGCGATGATGATAATAATGACCTACAAAGTAACAAAGTAACATCATGTTAAGGTGCTTAATATAGATAATAATGATGATAATGTCTACTGCTAACACTGAAAGTATTAAACCTATTACTATTACTCATACAGCCTACTGACACTACCCCTTCCGCTAAAAATAGCAACAGAAGATTAACAGAACCATTACAGTCAGTTTAATCACGAATAATAATCGATTTTGGAAAGACGCAAGCAGATTGACAGCGAATGCATATGGTCGCGCTGCGTTCGGCCCCCTGGCGAGAGAAAGCTCAATTACCACGGGTTCTGGTAACGCGTGGTGATGGTAGTGTTTATGTCATCATTTTCATGCGGTTTGTGGGCTATTGGGTTGGCGCTTTGCGGGGGAGAATGCTTTAAAAATGTTTAGGGTGGTTTAACGGAGCAAATTGCCGGCCGCACAGCCAAGGGTTAATTGGCCATAACTTGAGTCACGAATCAGGCAGATGGCGGGAAAGTAAAAGGAATGGCGAGAGAAGAGGGCGATGAGATTACACTTATCTGGCTGATAGAACGTGTTTTTTTTTTTTTTTTTTTTTTTTTTTTTACTTTTTATCGTTAACACACTTCTTGTATCAAGCTCCTTTTATTTTTATACTTGATATTGCCAAGATGTTTGATGGCGGGAATAAATCTGTTTTGTTATTACTGGGGGTGTACTTTTTTTTTTTTTTTTACTTATTTTACGTTTTTATCGTTAAGACACTTCTTGTATCAAGCTTCTTTTATTTTCATATTTGATTTTGCCAAGATGTTTGATGGCGGGAGTAAATCTGTTTTGTTGTTACTGGGGGTGTACATTTTTTTCTTTTTTTTGCTTAGACTTTAATATTATTAAGTTATACGTATTTGATTAAACTACACGTAATACTGCATTGTCAAATAAATGTGTATATATACATATGTATAGCTAAATAAATAAATATATATATATAACACAGACAAACAAGGTTGCTTACAAACAGAAACATTTAAGCACTCATATGCACGGTCATTCACACCCACACACAATCAAATCCATTCCTCCATTCACAAAAATCCCAGCTGATCACCCCCTCCCCCCTCCTCTCCCCTCCCGCAGGTGACCCTCGTCTGCGACTTCCCCAACGACTCCATCCCTTGCGAGGACTCTCCGAACTACTACGACTCGTCCAACGGGCAGTTCGGCCTCAGGGACGTCAACTTCAACGAGTAACCAGCGCAGAAAGGCTAAAAGTGTATAGTTCTTGGCTTTAAGACGTGTAGGTGGTAGGCCTAGGCTATAGCAGTAGTGGTTGAACCTTGGGTCGGGCACGCAGAGCGGCTGTATGCCCTGTGGTTGTGCTTGAGATGCCTCTGGAGATATGTTTGAGTGTTAGATATGTGCATGTGTAAGTATGCATGTGTATATATGTGTGTATATATATATGCATATATATACATATATATAATACACACACACACATATATATATACTTATATGCATATGTATATATATATACTTATATGAATATATATATATATATATAATACACACACACATATACATATGCACACGCACACACACACCACATATACGATATACATATAACACTTGTAAGTAAATATACGTACACACACACACACACACACGCACACATACACACACACACACACACACACACACACACACACACACACACACACACACACACACACACACACACACACACACACACACACACTATATATGCACAATATGACACACAAAACACAGAGGTTTATATGTACATAGAGAGAGAGAGAGAGAGAGAGAGAGAGAGAGAGAGAGAGAGAGAGAGAGAGAGAGAGAGAGAGAGAGAGAGAGAGAGAGAGAGAAAGACCAAAAGTATTGTTCTTTTTTTGTTATTCTTTTAGTTTTCCAATTTCCTTGTCCTGGTTACCTGGTCGTTAGCATATAGCCGCTTACTGAAACCACGTCTTTCAGTATTCTGTGTTGAAACATTTATTTTCGAAACCAGCATCTGTTAGAGTAGACATAGTGGGAGCTTCTTCGGCAGAATAGTTACTATGGCGTAGATAGTCATTAACCAGTTTTCGAGGTAACTATCGCATAATTTAGCGATAGTTTTCCTGTTTCCTAACTCCTCCTATGACACTCTTGGCTTCCTGAAGGCGCTCTGCTTCACCCTAATAGTAGTCAGCCTTAGTTGTTTGTTTCTAGAAATAGTTTTGTGTGATTTGAACCATACGAGCACCATCCCTATCTTGTACTATTCCGATAATTCGATTCCCTTTTGCTCGTCTTGATAACGATCGTCTTTTGTTTCCGTTCACTGCTGAATTCAGAAACGGTTTTCGAATGCAATAGTAGTTGTTTCATTCTTTTTCAATCGTTAAGCAGTAGACAACATGGTGCATAATCCGAACGATATATTATGATTGTTAATGTTAAATTCTTATCAAAACAGATAGCACCATACTTTTCTTTCTATCGCTCGCCATCTAACCCACCTTGGATGTGACCGTTTTACACAGAAAAGGAAGGGTTTATTATGCGATTTCTCCATCATTCCCAGTTGTCCTTTTCCCTATGGTACAATCAGGAGACCTCTCAGCCAACTGCATTAGTGTGCCAATGGAGTAGTGTGTCGATTCAGAGATCTGGATGGTCTTCGTATATTATCGTTGTGTTTAAAGGCAGCACTCCAGAGGGTGTGTCTGCCGTATGAACGTTGTTTCTCATTCATTGATGCTGGAAATACTGTTGCAAATGCTTGAATAAAAGCGATATGAAAAAATTCATGCTTTTTTTGTCCCTTTTTTATTTTGTTGCGAAATACAGTTACCCAGCTAACATCGATACACGTACACGCACCACACACACATGCGGAGCACACATAAGCACGCGCTGTGGTCATACTGAGGTTTCAGATATAACTGTGTATCTGATGAACAATAAAAAAAAAAATATGAAAAAAAATATTTGTCACTCATATACTGCATATGTATTTACATATATATACTTATATGTGCATACACACACACACACATACACACATATATATATATATATATATATATATATATATATATATATATATATATATATACATATATATATTATATATATATATATATATATATATATATATATATATATATATATATATATAAGATACAGTGATTATAGCAGAAAATCGAATGTTCCTTGACTTCTCCTGAGAAGAGTAGAAGCCGATAAACAAGAGAAAAAAGAAAATGAGAGGGAATAAATAAAAAGGCGAAGAAGATGAAGAAGCGATAAGAGAAAAGGAAAGAAGAAAAAGAGGAAAGCGATATGTATTAACTTCGAATAAACTTTTTTTTTGTCCATTATTCTCTTCTTTCCTAACGTTACTGTTGAAAAGGTATTTAGATTTTATTTCCAGTAATTCTAATTAATATATTTGCAATTATCTTTATAGGTGACAGCAATTTATATGTATATATAAATGCAGAGAGAGAGAGAGAGACAGACAAACAGACAGACAAACAGACAGACAGACAGAGAAACAGAGAGAGAGAGAGAGAAAGAGAAAGAGAGAGAGATGGGGGGGGAGTGTCACCGAAATAATATCGAATTATATCTTTTTATCGTTCCTTACCATTCTATGAAATTGACGACCTGATGTTACACCTTTCGGGAACAGTTTTGAATATCTGTTAGCTATTTCCAATTACAGCTTTACACAACTCTCATACTCGCCATACCAATGTCAGATTTCATGCCACGTCGCTACTGATATTCTTAACAGGGTCTATATTCTAAATAAGCTCTATACTTATATGGACTATGATTCTAGAGTTTCACTTTTGGACACAGCGGTACATACAGACGATTGCCATGTGTGGTAAAATCGTCACAAACGTTAACGCTTTAATTAATAGTAGGGTTACAGTAATGATGATGATGATGATGATGATGAGGAGGAGGAGGAGGAGGAGGAGGAGCAGGAGCAGGAACAGGAACAGGATGATGATGATGATGATGATGATGATGAGGAGGAGGAGGAGGAGGAGGAGGCTGTTTATCAATGAAGGAAAAGTTGAGCAAAATTTTTTCCTTTTCAGATTCGCATGTATTATAAGCACTTCTGTCTTAATCCTCACATTACATGACTTTCCTGAGATTTAGATAAATAAAATGGGATCTCCGTATATATATGTTCAAAGAAAACGAAAACGTGGCATTAGGGGTAACTGTTCAATTACTTTGGATTTCTCCCCCATTAAACAGAGATAATTAAGGTCTAATGAAGCGCAACATTATTAAAAAGACCAATAACTTGAACAAACTTATCTGAACAAAAAATGGTAGCAAATAAATTATTGGTCAGAGTAGGAGAATAAACCAATGAAAAATAGAGTAAATAAATGGAATAAAGATTGTACCGTCCATTATCATTGTTCAGTGGGGAGCCAAACCAACTCCTTTATAAACGATTTCCTGCTGTCTTTGGCTGCCGCAGAAAGTGAAAATAATTTCTAATCTTAATGGACTATACAGTTTTGGCCATGTCTCTGTTTACTCCAAACAAACACAATTATCAAGTCCTAGCTGTAATATTTCCTTTTACAACATTATCACTGAGAACCACTTTTATTTTTTTATTTTTTTTTTTTTGCCTTTAAATTAACGACAGCCATTCTTGATTTTATTTGTACTACCATGGAACCATAATAATGAATGTACTGTATCTCGTAGTTTTCAGTGAGGTTCTCAAGGTCCTCAAATTTGTAAGCTCCATTGCTACCACACAACCTCCTCCTTCAGTGTTCGAGAAAATTCCATACTTGATACGCAAATATCTTAAACCTGAACAATAACAAATGTGACAAAGGGGGTGGTAACAATAATAGAAGCATCTCTCCTTTAAGCACAACTGGAAAGGCTTTCGTATTTTAGGAACAGCCCAAGTGACTGGGGATAACATCTACAGAAAGATGTGCATGAAGACATCTGCAGACAGGCTTGGGAAAAATCGTCCAGGCCATGAAGAAATATTAAGAAAATGCGCCTGTCGTCTCTTGCTGAGTCTTCATAGATTCACATAATGGTTTCAGAATTGGAAGAAATACTTTTGTTTCTGTCGCGTCAACATCTAAGGTCATTAGCGGCGATAGGGTGGGGCTTGGGGACATAGCCCTTATGTAATGACCTTTTTTATATATATAAGGAGATGTTTGCGGATTTCCAAAATGATTAATGGTCAAAACAAAGAAATGTGCCAGCATCAAAGGTCTAAGACGTTACGATAAAGTACTCTAGCGAAAAGGGTAAAAATGAGTTAACGATTAGGAAAAGTGGCAAGAAGAAGGGGTGAAGAAGAGAAGGAAAAGGAAAATAGAAGAAAAGACCATGCAGAATTAGTTAAGGCGAGGGCTGAGGTCCAAGGAAAAGGAGGTCCCTACATTACACCTCAGGCTCCGTCTCCTAAGCCCCCACTTCAACAGCGAGCAAGGGATGAGGGAGAGAGAAATGAAATATCTACGGTGTGATAATTACCCCCCGTGATAATTACCCCCCGGCAGCTACAAGAAAAGGACTGGGAACAAGGACAAAGTCAATAGATCAGGACCGTCACTACGTTGCGACTTGTCACCTTCTCTTCAGAGATGACTGCTACAGTCCACCTGCCTCTTTTTTAGTTCAAAGGAACGGAAGCAGGGCTGTGTCCTCGCCTCGTGTTCAGTGTCATCTTCACGCTCTGCTACAATATGGTTAACAGGACTGTCCAGGAGACGTACTGTTAAAGCAAGAGCTGGTGGCTTATTATTCAACCTAGCTAAATTAACAGCTAAGACCAAGATTGAAAAAGCACTGATCAGAGAACTCTTTGCAGATGATGGATGAAGCAACGATGCAGATGTTTATTGCTATCCTTGCAAGAGCTTGCGACACCTTCAAGTTGCAAACGTGTATATTGAAGTAATGTCCCAAAGAACCAGTTCTGAGCTAATGATTCAGGCTCAGTTACATGGCTCAACCATTCTCTCACATCAGTCTGGAATAACTTTGGTCAACTGACAAAGCGACAAGAAATCAACCATCATGACTTGATATACAAGACCTGTATTGTGAGCCCACTCCTTTATGAGACTAAAACGTAGACACCATGAGAGAAGGCTCGACTCTCAACCTACACTGTTTGCGCTAAACATCAAATGACAGGCCAAGGCATCAAGCACCGATGTCTTGACGTGAGCAGAGGTTCCATCACCAACGAAAAATTAAGAACCTTTGGTTAAAGTGCAAAAACTTGTGGAAGACGTTGAGGCGACAGTGACGAAAATTACAGCCAGACATAGTTCATCATTTTTAAATAGAAGTCACTATCTTGGCCTTAGCAAGCTTTCAGTTCAGTTCAAAGCGTTGCGCAGAAATCAGCAAGATCCAGTCAAAACAGTAACTCCCGAGGGAATCTGCTGAGCCAATAAAATTCAAGACAGAGAGGTCAGCTCAGAGGACGATGGCTACTGTTTGGGGGGGGAGGGGTATTCTAAGAGGATAATCTTGACATATTTCCCCGAAGTATGAAGAACGACCATGGGCGCTTAGTATTAAGATGTGCAAGGAGACCTGAATGCTGCAATGGCGAGAAAACGACCAGTGAACGTTGCACCGCGGAATTTGTTCCACTATGACATTGCGTCAGCTCATTCTTGATATTTCGAGAATTTTGTTGATAAACACTACACTAGCCACCCTACAGTCCTGGGCTTGCCCCCTCGGACTTTATTTTATTCAACAAACTGAAAGAAAATCTGCAAGGGACACGATTTGAGTCATTGGCGATGCCAAAACTGCCTATCTGACATGTGATTGTATTCAGATACATTTTGGACACCTTGAACGGATATGTTCTTGTGTTTCCAGAATATCTGAAACCGGTGTATTCTTATTAAGTCCGGAGGGGCAGAGCTTTGGAGTGTTAGCGCCTCAGCTTCCGTGTGTACCAACTTGTGTGATGCTCGAGAGAAACGGGGAGTTAATGGCGCGAAAATGGGTTGCCGATATCAAAAGCCTCTTCCAGAAAACCAGCAAGAATGCAGTGTTGCCCTAATCGGAGAGAAGAATGATGTGGCTATGTGTATGAGCCAGGAACCCAAGCTTCTTAAAAAGAAAAAAAATGTGTATGGAAAGAAATAACAATTTTAAATGCCACGCCTTCATACTGCCAGTTTTGCTCTAAGGAAGCGAAACCTGGACGCTATCTAGTGCCTTGGAGTCTCGTCTTGACGCCTTTTGTAACAAGTCTCTTCGTCGGATCATGGGGTACAGTTGGCAGGATCACGTGTCCAACTGGCGGCTACACCGTCAGACACGTGTCCAACTGGCGGCTACACCGTCAGACCAGCATAAGACCTGTTACCTGCATAATCCGGGATAGCCAATTCAGGTTCTATGGGCACCTAGCGCGTTTCCCTACCTAGGAGATCATAGCTTGAGCAGCTCGACGAAACCTGCTAGGGGTTAGAGATAGGCCGAGGCCCTGCCTGGAGACTCGCCATGAGAGACCCTTGTGGCTTGAAGCAAAGGGTGGATGCGGCCCCGTCGATGTGATGATGAATGCCACTAATCCTGGCCACATGCTGCACGACACTGCTCAGTTGAAGAGAGCCTTAGATAAAGGTCTTTACAAGTATATAAGTACTTATAGGGACCTTGCCTTAGATCACATCAAACGACAGTAAGTTTCGAGCTACAGATTCTTTTAGATGCACATACTA